CTGTACTGTACACCATAACACTTGCGGACTATGTTAACATTGTTTGCCCTTTACACATCTGTCATCCCCACCCGAAATGGTTTCGTCCTGCAAGACAACGTTTCTTATCCCAAGTTCGGAATTATGTTGCAGCTGATAGCGGAACATTGGTGAAATCCATCTAATTTCTTGGCCTGCTGAAGAGATGAATATTAATTCCATGAAGCTTGTCTGAAATGTGGTGGAGAACAGGCTCAAAGTTCATCAACCGCTTCCTCGTAATCTATGGTAACTGTGAGACCGTTGCTCGTAAATCTGATACAAGCCTCCTTAGGACAATTTTTAAGGACCTGTAGAGTTTCTGCCATGCAGTAGCTCATGTTTGCCAAATGCAAGTAACGCAGTGTGAGAAGGTTGTAATAATAATTTTTCCGATTAGTGTATTTTTTAAGTAATATTATCGTAAATTTACATTTGTAAAATTTGATTACTTGCAACACAAACATTTTTGCAACATTTGGCTTAATTTAATTACTTAAGCAACATTCGGCGTTTAAAATTATACTGTAGTGGCATTTTCATACTGGATTTGTCGAGAAAATAGCAAACGCATTATTGTAAAAGATTGCTTGCATAATCTTTCATTATAATCTAAATACCGAAGAAGTTTTCTTTTTGGAAAACCATTTTTCCTTCATTCATGATAGAACTTAAACTATCAAGAAGAATGATATGTATAAAAGAACTATCTGACCGCTTTCAGAGAATAATAATGTAATCACTGCTTTGAATTCTCCATTATTGTTTGAATAAAATATTTTAATACTTTTTGAGCCAAGAATTTTATTCAAAATGTGTGATAATCGATTTTGTATTTAAGTGGTTGCTTTTGTTGTTGTGACAAGCCATCTAACAATTTAAGTTGTTTAAAAAAAAGAAAGGAATTCTAATTAAAGATTTTTCCGCAGCTTTTGATGACAAAGCAGACAGTTAATGGATCTAGTAATAAAAAATGTTGTCCATTATTTGGTTGTTGTTGCTAGTTATGGCTCTTGTTGCTAGATATAGGTTCATTTTACGTAATGTTAAGGAACATTCATTGCAGTAAAACTATTTATTTTATATATAGGTTTGTGTATTGGCTGCGATGATGAAAAAAATCTAAATGTTTTCTTTCAACAAGATATATCTCCTCTTAAATGTGTCTCACTACAGTTGCTTTTCATATTTATCTAGCTGCAGACATTCTGTACTTTCGTTCGTGTAATTTTTATGTGTATTATATTTGTAGATTACGATACTATTATTAAAGTTGACCTGCATATAATTCGTATAATTAGCAAATTTCTCGAAGTCTTTCTCTTTGCAAACATGACGTATAGTAACATTACTATTCATCGGCTTTCAAATGTTTGGACTTTGAATAAATTATTTCGAAGAAGAAACACAGCTCAGAACTACACTTTTATTGTCCTATTTAGCTCAAAGGGGCTTATGCCTATCTTTTGACAGCAAGCATCAACTACTTAAGAGTTTTGACATGTTCTCAATCTTTTTGCAACACAACTAGTATTTATACAAAGATATTTCAAATATAAAATTTGTCATTGCGTCATATTTCACATGCATATCGTTTTATTGTTAATGTAACATATCTCGCTTATCTCTGGTGTTCCTGTATTTTAAAATTAAGTATGTTTTAAATTTACTATTTTTAACCAGAAGTTGCTTATCACATATGTAAAATTCTTCTGAAATTTGATAAAACTGAATGTGTAATAATAATTAGAGAAAGCCTCATAAATAAACTCTTACTTCATATGACTTACTACTAAAATATTTCAAACTGATGTATTTTTAGATCGCAGTGACATTATATTTTCAAAATGAATACAGGAGAATAAATAAATCCTGATCCTTATGCTAATGAAATAAAAATTGCGAATTTAAACACATTTGGCGGAAATAGTCAAATAAGACATTTCTTTGCTAAGCACGAGTGCGTATTTTATGTCTTAGCGTGGCCAATAAATATAAATAACACAATGCTTTTTTCCTAAAAATACACTTCGAAAAATCATGCGCATAATGTGCAATTTAATACTGGACTTATTACTTAACCCTTAGATTTTATATTTAAAGGAAAGTTATTTACATTAGTTATATTAAGGTATAGCATTAAGACTTTATTATACTTGACGTAAATCATCTTTAATATATGAGTCTTGCATATGTAAAACTAAAAGCTGTTTTATCTTGCAATGTTTCTTGGAAAAACTAAGAATCGCCTTATATGAGAAAGTGTTTTAATTTGAGGTAGTCTGGTCTTTTAGTATGTTATTAAAGAAAATAAAATTTATAGTTATATAAACGTGTTAAATTATTTCTTCTTGGAAAAAAAATATAATTATTTTCCCCAGGTCTTTCATTTTATTTTTAGTCCAAAGGGGCAATTTGCCCAGAATTACAGTTAATTGCGTTTTGACATTTTGCATTGGTTCACTATAAATGTCGGTTCACTTTTCAAACTCTTGCCATCAAATATTAGAGCCCTGTAATATATTTAAATAAATTAAGTAATGAAGAATCCGCATTAAATGTATGAATGTTTCTCGCATTGTGATAAAACAACGGTTCCTACAGCCATAAAATGTTTAATAACGTAATTCTTCACCGAATATGAGAGTATCTGGAAGCCCTAATTTTGAATTTTGAATTTCTTTTATTATTGATTTCATATTTTGTAACCCTTTAACGAATTTCAATTAGCAAACTCAGAGATTTCAAAGCGAGCGTTGGCAACACTGTACGACAAAAAAAAGAAAAACATTTTGTCTCCAGCACGGCAGACTGTTTATCCGGATTCTAGATATGTTCATTTTCAAAATGTTCTGCGATATTGCTGTTGAATTGAATTTTATGGTTTCAGTGCAAAGAGCATGAGTTTTAATAAATAAAGGCGACACACAAAACATTAAAAAACGCCCCTTTGGGCCTAATGTAAAATTTGAAAGCTTACAGATATATTTCTTTTTTACATAAAAATTATTTTTACTCAAATATTCCATTGTTAAATTTGATGCAAATAATTAATTTATGTATTTACTTAATATTTTAATTGACTTAATGAATTTTTGTCACTTACTGAAATGTTAGCAGAATTATATAACATGAAAAACTAACGAATCAGTAATAATAAACACTATTTAAGAGATATTCGGATAAAAATATCAAATTTGCAACCTGAAAACGTATTATTTAATGCTTAGAAGAAGAGATTATAAACCAATAATTTTAAAAAAAATTAGCATGGAAATTACAGCTATATTTTTCTTGCCTTTTTAAGTAACAAAATATGTGCTGCTGCCATCTCATGAAACTAAATATTTACTGTGAAATTAAACTAAAATTTAACTAAAATATTTTCCATTTTAAAAGCTCTGAGCTCTGTTTCTGCTATAGATATAGTCATAATTATAGATCGAGCACTGGACAATAAAAACTGATTCCAGTAGCTATGAGAGTAGCAAAATGAAAATTTCAATTATCGTAATTGCTATTTTTGTATTGAAAAAGTACATTTTTGTTTAAAATCTCTGCATCAATGACACCATGAGTGATTTTTAAGGCCTGTTTCCATGTTAGAGCGTTAAAATCTTAAAAAACAGGTGCACATAATTATGACGCGTTTCTTCGGCTCATTCTGGTCAGTCGCATCCTCGTGAAAAGTTTAGAACTCATTGGCGGACATGGTTCTCGAACTGTGAAAAACCAAAAGTACCTAGACACATCGAATTTTGAATGAGGTAGTTGTCTGTTCGAATATATTCATCTGGAAGACAAAATTTTAAATTTTGAATTTAATTTGTTTTTTTATATGTTTCATAATTTATCAAACATTTAATAATATTTAATTAACAAACTCAACGATTTCAAAGCGAGCAATGGCAACGCTGTACGAAAAAAAATATTTGTATCTCCAGCACATGACACTCAGTATCTGAAATTCTAAAATATGTTTTTTTAAATATTCTGTGATATTGCATTTGAAGTGAATTTTATGGTTTAAGTGCGAAGAACATTAAATTTAATAATTAAGGGTAACACACAAAACGTTAAAAAAACGCTCCTTTGGGCGTAATACAAAATCTGATGGCTTTCAGATTTCTTTTTTAATTTTTGTCTTTTCCTTTTTTTTATTTTTGTTTAATTTCTCATCTAATTTTTATGTATATATCGGTTTAAAAAAAAAAAAAAAAAAAAAAAAAAAAATAGCAAATATTATATTTTGTCTATTTGCGAAATCGTGCAAACTAGGCTTCCAGCTGGTTACTGATATTTTCCTTCAATTAATTTTATGAGAATGTGCTTTCAAAAATGAAAGAAAATGGAGAAGCTGAATATGTCTCTTGTGCTTTAGATCTTCGCTGTGGCGAGAGAAAAATTTCCCTTGCAAAATAATATATCATTATTTTGTGACTTTATTGCTGCTCCAAACATTAATTACAAGGGAATTTATTTCACCACAACTAAGACATCCGTAAAACAATGCTGCATTCTTCGAAACTTCTTCTTATATTCCTTAACAAGTATGTAAAAGAATTCGCCTGGAAAATTTATTTCGTTTTGTATGTTCTCTTGTCATTAATTTTGAGAACTTCTGCTTTTACGAACTACTTTTGTTAGTAACCAGTACATTTGCAATAATATACTTCCTTCTAAAATTCTTAAGCATGAAAATAAATATTTTTTCCTTTCTTGGTGCTTGTATTCAACAAAAGGGAAATGATAAAAACAATTCTCATTTCCGTTTAATGAAAAACATTAAATGTCTGTTTCACCTTTGTGTACTTACTTACAAATAACTCATTGCAATTGCTGGATATAAGACTAAAGATGAATTATGTTTATTTATTTACCTTTTCTAATTATGTTTTTAAAATGAAGACTGCAATTTGTCCCTTAGAAGTAAGATGATTCATTTTCTTTCTTCAACTTACTAATAAATTCCTTTATTTCAGATACTCTGCAAAGTGACTACAACACACTCTTGACTGATGCACATATCCATACCCTTGTCAATGGATCTCTGTCTATACGGAACGTTGAGAAATCTGATGAAGGATATTATATGTGTCAAGCATCTAATGGTATTGGTTCAGGAATCAGTACAGTAATTATGCTAAATGTTCGAGGTAAGTTGTTCGATAATTTTAATCAACAGTTTTCCAAGTGATATTCAGACATAGATCTGTTAAACATTTAGCTTAGTAAAATACAATAGAAGCAAATTATCTGTTTCCGTGAAAGACCGAAATAAGTGAATGTCGACTTTCACCGGAGAATATCAACATTCACCAAATACGTCGGTGAAAGACCGAATATTTCACTACATTCTTGTATATTCGGACCTTACCGGTGTATATCGACAATCAGAGATATGCTCTGGTGAAAGTCGAAAAGAACATAATTTAGTAAGTTTTTTATTACTGTTATTTTATTTTCTCATTTAGAACGTACTGTATAATTAAGTAAGTTTTTAACTTCTATTATTTTCCTTTCTCATTTTGAATGTATTGTGTGTTTTAGCTTCTCATGTTCTTAAGTTCTTATTTCAAGTTTCAAGTGCGTGTATTCGCGACTGAATTACGGAGAAGAAAATATAATATTGTTATATGTTTAACATTCACCATTAGTACATGGTGAATGTCGGCATTGACCGGTTAAGTCAGAAATAAGAGTATTTGGAAAATATTTCGGACATACACCAAGAAACTATATTAATGTTGACATTCACCGGTGAAAGTCGAAATTCTCCAGATTTCGGTGTTTCACCGTAACATACATATATTATCTGAAAGCCATATGTTTTAGATCACACTTTAAAACGTCTCTTTTTTTAATGGTTAAGGATATGCAAAGCGGATAAAAGTAAATTCTGTAGTTCTTACTAAATCAGCTTGAGAACTCCAGACTTCCACGCTAGTAGTACAAATCGTGTTCATAAGTCATTAAAGGCTAATTCAAAATGGACGATGCTTTATATGAACGTACACTTGTTATTACTAATTAAGGAAAAGTCACAAAAAGGGCGATTACTCAATAAGTTACGTGTAGAATTAAATGAAACTGACCAACAGTACGCAACATAGTAAGGTGTAAAATAAAATGAAAAGAAATTACTAAACAATTATGGTGTTATATAAATTAGCATTTCTATAAAGTGAACAATTCGGATGTGCCAGTTTGGTAAAGAAATATTACCTTCAATATGGAGTATGACCTGCTCTAGAAGCAGAATAACGCTGTCAGGACTTGTGTTCCTCTTGAGTTGCTTTGGAAACATGAATGACCCTGAATAGGAACAGAGAGCTTACTCAAGCTATGTTCAAGAAGGTGTGAAGTAGACAACACAAGAAGGAAGGGTATACGAAACCCTTTATTTTCAATCTTTTACAGGCACTTCCGAACTTCGGAATACAGAGTCCAACCACTTGTCGTAACTTGTTCACTTGTCCTTGAACGTAAGAATATAAAAACTACTAACTAAAACTCTAACTAAAAGCTAACTTTGAATTAGTATACAAATGCCTAGCACTAAGACTACACCTAGCACTAAATGGTACGACGAGCTGCTTAAACTACAATACGTTTTCAAATATCAAGAGGGCTAAATCTCTGGCCTTCAAGGTGTGCGTGTGTATGTGTATGTGATTATGGCAAAGCCTCGAGGGCTATCCGCCTAAAGGGAAGGATGCCTTCGTGGAGGACTTTCTAGGGAAAACTGGCTCGTATACACGTTACACATGGGAAAAACCAAGAAAACGCCCATGCAGCCAGCCCGTTCGTGGGATTCGAAACTCGGACCGAACTACCAGTGTTCAGCGACTTTACCGCTCGGCCGCTGGTGGGCCCTGGCCTTCAAGGCAACCAGCAACCGAGTGAAAACTCGTAAAACTACAATGGCAAGCGGCTTGCTTCCTAAAACTTCTTCTCTCTCTCTCGCTTGGCAAAAAGCCACAACTTAAGTACTTGGGCGGTTAGCAAGACAATTTGCATAAACAAGATAAAGCATTTAATTCTGGCCGGAAGTAGACAATAAGAAGTGATAGTACAGTTTTAAAATAAAATAAACGTTAGTAAAACTTAGGATCCTTACAGCGCATTCAGCGTTGTTTGATGCTCTCAGTTATGCGTTCTATCAATTCTGTATGAAGTGAGAGCCATTGTCCTTGCAAAGCATTTGCAAGCGTGGCAGGGGTCTGAAGAGGTGGATTGAGAGAAGCTACATGTCTCCTTAGAGCATCCTAAACATACTGGATAGGATTCAGGCCCGATCATCGAACTGCCCGCTCTTTGCGATGAATTGTTTGCTGCTGAAGATAATCATCGACGATGCGAACCCTGTGCTGTCTGGCGTTGTCGTCCTGTAGCAGGAAATCCTCATCTATTTGCCCTGCTTATCGGTGCACATAAGCATCATTGGCCACTTCTATTGGACTTTGCCCTGTCTCTAGTTTCTTAATAGCACTCCATCGCAGTTCTTCGGGCAACTGATGCCTGGAAATCATTATTAAAAATTGGCTATCGCAAATTTCTTATCTCAGTATGACAGCGAAATTTGCAGCCTTGCTCTCAAGTACGCAAGTTTATTCTCCACGCAGATGACGTATTATGAACGCAGCGTCATTAATTTGCCTATTGCAGTTCTACTCAGCAACTTTCATTTGACAACATATTCAAATTTTATACAAATTGGGTTATTTTTGAATGAGTTATCGCTATTTTTGTGATTTTTCGTTAATTTTTGGAAACCAGTGTAATTTAAATTTTCTTTTACATGTCAAAACATTACGGTTCTACGGAAAAAACGCACAGGAAAAGTGCTCATAGAATAATGCTGACAGGTATAAATGCTCACAGGAAAAAAGCCCACACAGAAATATGCTCAAATAGAAAAATACTCACATGGGAAAATGCTTACTTGGAAATATACTCACATGGAAAAAAGCTCACATAGATATATGCTCACATGGAAATAAGCCCACTGATAAATAAAATACGCAGGAATATCCTTACATTAATCAATCAATAATTAATCGATCTGAACATCGTACACCTATTTGTTTTTTTAAATAAAATTATTTGATCATTTGAAAAAAAAAATATTGGACAAATGCTCATAATAACCTTTTCAGAGGTGGTATATAAAAGAATGAAAACTCTAGTAAAATTTTTCATGTACTGTAATATTTTATACCACTGTCCCCTGTACGACATTTTTTCCCCTGTAACCTCCAATAGTTTATTTTTGTTCTTTATTTACTCTATTTTTGCATACTTTTGGTGTGTATCTATAGAAATTGAAGTTTGAATGTAGTTATTTACGTTTGGAGCCAAAAAAGTTCTAGATGACCACTTCCAATGGAAATGCGGAATCATTACGAAGCAGCCTTCGAAAAATCTCCTAAAACAACAAATTATTACGAAAGCTTCCATAAGGTACTAAATTCATTATTTAATTGTAGCCGTCCTAGTATGTGGTTTTTGTTTGACGGATTGAAAAACGATTTAGCACGTCAACGTTTATTACTAGCTAATGTAAATGCAGGGAGTACTGAAGTAAAAAAAAAAAAAAAAAAAAAAAAAAAAAAAAAAAAAATATGAAAACTTACATTTGATAATCGCGAATCATGTAAGAAAGTATGATGAAATCGATGATACAATTAGATAGTAAGTTTTGTAGAAACATTAGGTATTTTGGAAGTAGGAGATGTGAAAAAAAAATGAGCAAAGCCTTCCTCGGAAATTGAAACACGGACCTCCGGAATACGCGACCAGCGTGCAGACCACCACACTACGAAGGCATGCTAAGAAGGCGGGAGAAATACCCTATAAGTTTATGTGAAATATACATGATTTATACATAACAAGGTATTTTACGTAATTTAAATAAGATAATTATTTCTATTTGCCTTTTATTCTCAATGTTGATATTATAAAATGTGTAGCTTACTATTATTTTATATTTTTAACAATTAAAATTGTAATAATTTTTTCGCTGTATATTCTGTTTCATTTTTCTTCCTTCCTCTCTCTTTTTCCTAATTAAAAACGGCCCATTTTTTTAATCTTATATAGCAACTAACTCTACACATAGGTTATACAGATTTCGATATATATATATATATATATTATATATAATATATACTATAGTTTTGGGGGTAATTTAAATAATTTTCCTTTAAAAAATTCAAGTAGGTGTACGATGTTCAAATCGATTAATTATTATTGATTAATGTAATTATATTTTTACGCATTTTATTTATCACTGGGGTTATTTTCATGTGAGCATATATCTATGTGAGCTTTTTTCTGTGGGAGTATATTTCTAAGTGAGCATTTTTTCATATGAGCTTTTTTCTGTGTGAACGTATTTCTGTGTGGGCTTTTCTCGTGTGAGCATTTATACTTGTGAGCATTATTCTGTGAGCATTATTCCTGTGGGCTTTTTCCTGTGGGCATCTTTCCGGTCACCAAACATTACATATATAGTCTATGCTCCCTTCAAATATTTCTTGCTGATTTTCATGCTATTTGCTGATTTGAATAGACAACAGGAATTGCTTTCGGGAAATTTCCTTAATATGTTCCTGACTTTAAATTTTTTGTTGTCTCATATAAGTTGATTCGATAATACTGAATGAAGACTCAATTTACTAATTGTGATCAATATCCGGAAAACATTTTTCATTATTATCTGCAGTGGCTATCTGCAAATTTCGAGATAAAGCAATGCTGCGGTTACATTATCATTGATTGAAGCATGCCCTGAGAAATCACCGTATTATATATTCATTTTAATGCATTGTGTTCGAAATGCTCATTTCACACGGCACAAGGCAGCAATTCAATCAAAAATTCATTGATTTTCTAATCACGTAAAATATTCCAGTAACAGGTACGACAACTTATTGAAAGTTGAAAATGGGTGCTTAAGTCCAATTAATATCTCCAACTTTCTAATAATAAGAGAATATTAATTAGATATATTAATATCTCTAATTTTTCTTTGAAATTAAAATATTCTAGTTTATTAAATTGCGCATACATATAGATACAATGACACAAGAAATATTTATATTGTATTTATATATATATATATGTATATGTGTGTGTGCGTGTGTGTATAATG